CCCATCCCCTCCTCCATCCAAAGCCCCTCTCAGACCCAGGCGCCCTCCTGCTCCCCTCCGGACCCAGCCTCCACCCCAGGCCCCTTACCAAAAGCCGGGAGTGGGCCCCATCAGAAATAACCGCCCGCCTCTGCTCCCTCCTTGCGTGTGGTACACGCAGACCCTCCCTCCGGCCCCCCGCGCCAGGACGGAGCCGCCTCACCTTCTCCAGCACGCTGAAGGTCTCCTGATACTCCCGGATCTTCCGGCGGATGTTCCACGCCTTGCGGGCCGTGTCGTCCCCCTCCATCATCACGAACACGCTGCCCATCTCCATGAGGTCAATGCCTACGGGGAACGGGAAATCACTCTCCCCTCCCACGTCTGCCCCCAGCGGGCCGACCGGCCGGGGCCCAGACCGGAGGGCTAGTAGTGAGACCCCTCCTCAAGACTGCCTTCCCCAGGCAGGGGGGTGGACTGAGCCTGGCCTGCCGAGGATCCATGGCTGAGACCAGAGCAGCCGTGCCAGCCGCGCCCAGAGGGGGGCGATGCTGAGACTGGCCCAGCCGGGTCCATTGGCAGCCCCCCGCGCCCGGCGACGGCGCCCCGAGGCTCCCCCCTCCAGCCCGTTCTGGTTCCGGTACCGGCAGTGAACAGCTTCCCAGCGCCCGACACCACCACCGCGTGGCACTCCGGGTCCTGGGCGATCTTGCTGAAACACTCCACCATCTCCCTGCAGGGATCAGAGCAACAGGGGCTGACGCGCGCTCCCTGAGGGGGCAGTCGACACCCCACGGACAGCCAGGGACCGTCTGCTCCCCTCCCCTTGCTGTCCAGCCTCAGTGTGGGGGGAACTCTGGAGGCCTTCCAGCCACCACCACCGCGTGGCACTCCGGGTCCTGGGCGATCTTGCTGAAACACTCCACCATCTCCCTGCAGGGATCAGAGCAACAGGGGCTGACGCGCGCTCCCTGAGGGGGCAGTCGACACCCCACGGACAGCCAGGGACCGTCTGCTCCCCTCCCCTTGCTGTCCAGCCTCAGTGTGGGGGGAACTCTGGAGGCCTTCCAGCCCGGATTCCCAGCTACCTCCAAAACGCTGCGTTCATGGCGTTCCGCTTGTCTGGCCGGTTCAGCTCCACGTGGAGCACCTTCTCCCGCGCCCGGGACACCGCCAGGGTCTCATAGCTGTGAGCCGCAGGGGCTCCTCCGGCGGCCGGCTCTGAAGCGAGGCAGCGGCCGGATCTGGGCAGACAGCTCTGGGAAGAGAGACACCACTCGTCCATGCCAGGAACCCCAGCAGACAATTCCCTTGGGGAGATGCTGGGCAGCATTTAGTACAAGAGGAGCAGTGCTGCCCAATGGATAGAGCATGAGACTCAGGACTCCTGGGTTCTACCCTTGGCTCTGGCGCGTACATCCGTTCCCCTGTGCCTCAGTTTCCCCTCCCCCTCCTTCTTCTTAATCTGTAAGCTCTTTGCCTGTGACAGCACAAAGGGACCTCTGGGTACGTTCAGCAGCCCCTATGGACCACGTGGGGGCTGCTGGGGGCTTGGTCATTTTGAAAAGCAGAACCCGACTCAGAATTTCGTAGCCCCAAGAGATGGAACCAAGTGCCTCAGCCTCTGGCTTCCGGGCCAGCCGAGAGGGAAGTTCAGAGCAGGGGGTTGGAGGAATAATTAACCGAGGGCGGTGTGGAGAGAGCACGATAAGAAGAGTACATAACGAAGCCCTCAGCGTTGCAGACCATGAGGGTGGGAAAGATATTCCAGGTGGTGCCTGTTCAAATCTCTCTCTAGGTGTGGAATTTATTGCGCGGTTTTATTGACATAAATATGCCACCTTTCCCCCAATTTTATCACAAAAGGAGCCACCCAGATTCTTCTCAGGCCTTTCTAGGGGATCTCAGACCTGCACAGCTTGGGCGGTTTTATTTGTATGTATGATCAGTCCACGGCCTTTTCATCGGCAGAATCTTCACGCCCACATGAGGGGGATCACTATTAGCTGCATTTTGCAGATTGGGGAAACTGAGGCATAACGGGGGGACACGACTTGCCAAACCTGGAGAGAGAACCCAGGAGTGCTAGCCTTTTGCCCCTCCCTACTCCAACCACTAGGACACACTCTCTCTCAGAGCTAAGACCTGAACCTGGGAGTCTCGACTCAGCCCCCTTGCTCTAGCCACTGGAAACCATGGCCCTCCCACAGCCAGGTATATACCGCATGAGTCCTTCCTGCTCTAACTACAGCTGGGCTAGAACCCGGAGGTCTTGACTTCCTGTCCTCCATTCTGTCACTGTCCCCACTCCACGCCTCAGTTTCCCTGACTATAAAGCAAGGACACTGACCTATGTCTGAGGGCTGTGTGGCTGGGCTCACTTGAGTCCACAAAGGGCCTTAGGGTGTTTGACTGGAAGGTGCTAGAGAAAGCCCTGAACACCTAGGACAACTGTCTGCCCACAATGCCGCAGCGCTAGTGGAGATGCAACCTTTCCCCTAGTAGCCTTTGAACAGGCTGATCCCACTGCAGGGGGAGGGGAAGAGCCGGTCAGTTCTGTCTGCACCCAGAGCAGCTGGGACACAGGTAACTCCTTGCCCAACTCTTTCGCCTGTGGCCGAGCCTGACTCAGGCCTCCCTGCTTTCATAGAATCATAGAATCATAGAATAATAGGACTGGAAGGGACCTCGAGAGGTCATCGAGTCCAGCCCCCCGCCCTCAAGGCAGGACCAAGATCCGTCTACACCATCCCTGACAAATGTCTATCTAACCTGTTCTTAAATATCTCCAGAGAGGGAGATTCCACCACCTCCCTTGGCAATTTATTCCAATATTTGACCACCCTGACAGTTAGGAATTTTTTCCTAATGTCCAATCTAAACCTCCCCTGCTGCACTTTAAGCCCATTACTCCTTGTCCTGTCCTCAGAAACCAAGAGGAACAAATTTTCTCCTTCCTCCTTGTGACACCCTTTTAGATATTTGAAAACCACTATCATGTCCCCCCTTTGCTTCCGTTTGCATCAGAAAGATGCCAGGGAGGTTCCCGGGGAGAGCCCCAGGGCCGGAGCAGATCCCGTGCAGCTGGAGCGCTTCAGTGCGGACACGGCCAGGACCCACGGCAGGGCTCTCCCTGGGCACGGCTCGTCCGC